AGTATATGTGGTGGAAAACATTTTTTATTATAGTTATGAAAACAATACATGCTTGCTCTAGAAACTTCATAAAAGATTGGCCCAAAGACGTAATCCCAGTACCCACAGATAAGAGCTGATAGCATTTAGGAGGATATTTTCTTGTCTTTCACTTTATATGCATATTATTTTTATAATAGTTGGTTCATATTATATGTATTGCCAAAAAACATGCTTTAAAAAAATAGCAATGCATAGTGAACATTTTCCATGCCGATACATCTTTTATGACCTATAGTAGTTGCTGCTCAGTGTTCCTGGGGGGCTGTGCTGTGATTTACTGCACGGGTTCTCATCTGGGGGCACAATTAGGGTGTTTCCAGTTTTGCACTACTAATCAAAAATTTTTTTTTTTTTTTTTTTGGTGGCTGGCTGGTTTGGGGATCCAAACCCTTGACCTTGGTAGTTATAACAGCACACTCTGACCAACTGAGCTAACTGGCCAGCCCCTAAATGTGATATTTTTGTACGATCTTCGTGTACATCTATGATTATCTATAGTCAATTCTTAATGGAAATATAGGATTTAAAGTTACTTCAATTTTATTTCTTGTTCCCTACTTTCACCAAAGAGTCATGGTTTGTGAAAACTTTTGCCAATGTGTTAGGTGAAAGACGGTATTTTGCATTGTTTGGATTTGCATTTTAAACCATTTTTGATAAATCACATTTTCCTTAACTCTTTGTAATTCCTTCTTTTTTTTTTTTCCAGAATTTCTGGTGCATTTGTCTTTTCCTTCCTGATTTGCTGGAACTCCTTCTAAATGAGCAGTATTACCCCTTTTTCTGACACACATGTGGCAATATTTTTTCCTAACTTATCCTTTGCCGTTTAGTTTTAGCTGGTGGTGTTTTCTTAGTCGAACCTTTCTTGAATCGCTGACGTAGTTTTGCTGAGGCTGAATCCTTTTCCGCCCACCTGCACTGAGTTAGAAATCAAATACTTTGGGATGCATTTGTCATTCTCTGATGATGAATACCTAAAAGTGTCCTGTATGGGCAGCTCACCAGCATAAGGCTGGAGCCTGTGGCCACATTTTCACCCGAATCGCTGTCACCAAATATGTCAACGCCTGTAAGAGTAAGAGAAGGAGCCAAACAGGTTTTAAGAGGTTTCAACAGTCTTGCAGCAAACCTTTTCCAAGAAACTCTGACCCAAGCATTTGCAAATGGGTCACACCTTTTTTCAATCTCTACAGCCAGCATCAGTCCTGGAATTTGTCTGTTTGGATGGTCCAAGGCAGTGCTATCCAATAAAATATAATGTGAGCCACATGCATGATCTTAAATGGCCTGGTTGCCACATTAAACAAAAAGTAAGCAAAACAGGTGAAATTAATTTCAATAGTACATTTCATTCAACCTAATATATCCAAAATACGATCATCTCAACATGTAAAGAACATAAAAAGTATCACTAATGAGTTATGTTGCGCTCTGTTGTGTACTTTACACTTTCAGCACATTTTAATTTGGGCCAATCATGTGTCAAGTGTTCAGTAGCCACATGTGGCCAGGGGCTACTCTACAGACAGTGCAGCTCTAATAATAGACATTTGGCTGTGGGAAAAGGCAAAAGCCACAACAGATTGTAATTCAAACAGAAACCTGGCTTAGGGACCTCATCCTTGTGACCGTCCAAAGGATGAGACCGTCTGGGGACTGCTTTGTGAAATTTCCTACTCTTAAAATACATGCAGACCTGAGCATTTCAGCTTCTCCACACCTGTACCAATCTGTATCTGTTGTTTTAAGGGCCAGAGGTGTCAACACCCAAGCCCCACTCAGAACAGAACCAAGGCCACCGGAACCCACTGCCGAGGACAACGTGTGTGTGTCCGTCACGAAGAGAGACTGGCTTCTGCAGGAAAAGCAGTGGCTGCAGATGAGCAGGTGAAGGATCTTCAAGGAATGGGACCCTTTAAGCCAGATGCAGCAACATAGGTCTTTGCTTTGCTTGAGTGTAGCAATTAGAGCCGCGTCTGGGAAGTACAGCAGGAGAGACGTGGGATGTGACCAGAGGGCTTGTAGAAACCTCCTGACAAATGAAGGTTGAAGGCTCAGCAATGGGTGCCTGTTTTCCATATTCCTTGTTACCTTTCCAATATGCTTGTCTGCTGAGCCAATTAGTCACCTCGTATCATCTTGACCTTTAGAAGCTTCCTGTGAGAGGCAGAAAGAGATCTGTGCTGAGAGAATCTGTTATGGAAATTCCTCTGGTGGTGGACTGTGACCGTTGTCAGGGGATAGAGCCGCAGGTCTGCACCTGTAGGTGGCATGTCTGTGATGGCCAGCAGGACACACTGGGGCCCCGGGTGGGTCTGAACAGTGGGTAAACATTGTCTGAGCATCACCCAGGGGCTAGAATCTGGGGGCAGCACAGAATTAAAGGCAGACGCCGGTCAGGTGCTCTGGAAGTTGACAGACCCCCCCGCCCCCAGAGGCAGGAACTTGAAGGTGGGCGAGTGGCTGCTTGAGGCTGGAGCAGGAAAGAGCGCAGGTCTTCAACACCCGAGTCCAGATCCTGCTCTGCCTCTAAGCAGCTGAATGAGATCAGAGTCCTGGGGGCTTGGACAGGTCACTCCCCCTATGCAGGGTATTGTTATCCAAGTTTGCCCACCCCAGTCGCTAAAACAGCACAGTGGCAGAGGGAGGGAAAAGTCATCGCAATTTGAAAATATCCCCCAATACATGGAGCACCTGTGTATTCTGTGAGCATCGTCATAAAGTTTAATGTAAGATCTGGTTTTGATTTTCAACAATATTCACCATTGAAAGGTCTACGGCATGGGCCGGCCCAGTGGCGCACTGCTACAGTGCACTGCTTGGGAAGCGCGGCGGCGCTCCCGCCGAGGGTTCAGATCCCACATACAGACCGGTTCCCGCTCACTGGCTGAGCGAGGTGTGGGAGCAACACCGAGGGTTGCGATCCCATTGCCAGTCCCGGTCCGGTACGGGCGCAACACCGAGGGTTGCGATCCGTTGCCGGACACGAAAAAAGACAAAAAGGAAAAAAAAAAAAAAAAAAAAAAAAGGTCTAGGGCATTCCTGAGAACATCAGGGGGCAAAGAAAACAATTTCAGCCCAGGG